CTTCAATTTCCATAATAGAATAAATGATTAAATATTTACAAAGTAATGTTGGTTACTGCTATGAAAATAGAATTGTAATAAAATCTTTACATATTTAGAAATAAATGAAGAAAAAAATATTATTATATGGAATTACTAATAATTCTATTCGTAACAATATATTTATCGAAACTTTTGGGGTGGCGGTTTTACCCCGGTCGTTATTTACATTCGAATTTAAGAGTTGTATAAATAAGAAGATTCTTATAATAGAAAATTATTTGTTTGGCAGATTAGACTTTTACTTATTACAATCTGGAAATTGTACCTGATCATAACGCCATAAATTATCATAAGTTACGATACAAAATACCATAACCCATTACAATTGTAGAAAGCTTGTGGCATTATATCTGTATCTCTATGTTGGATGCATTTTCAAAACTTTCTTTTTCAAATCTTACAATATATCCTCCCGTTCCTGGTTTCGCACAACTGCGTTTGCTGCTATCTTATTACTAATAAACCATGTACATGCGGAAAAGTTACCGACTAAAATATAAGTTTAGAACAAAAATAAAGAATCTAAAATTTTAATTCGTTACAGTAGCTATTTCCAATCATTTTTCTAAAATTTTTTAATTGCATGTGATATTTTTATTCAACTAAACGTATTTTGTTAAATAATTAAATTATTCAAATGCAGAAATCCTTTTTTCTCCATCTTTATGTATTGGTTTACTATTTCCCATAAACAACGCTGTAATAAACATTAACGCACTATATATTGTGAAAAGCACAAAGGTGAATTGAAATGCTAACACATAAGCGTGAATGACTAATAGTCGTGTATCTGGTGGTAATGATTGTATAGTATATACGGATTGTGTTGAAAAAGACGGAGGTAAAGTTAAAGTACTTAATTCTTGAGAAAGTCTATTATTAAATGCTGTTCCTGATATTGCAATTCCAAAAACAGCCCCAACTAAAGAGAAAAATACAGATGATGAATTAGTAAAATAATTTAATAATTTTGCTAAAAAAACTGAACTTTTTTTTTTTGAATACTTACTGCTCCTAAAGAATAATGATAATGTAGTAACCGCAGCTATATCCTTCGGCTCAACCAATCCTTGAACGCATAATGTAACAGCTTGAATACTTGCACCCATCCCAATACCACCAATTAACATGTATCCTATATATTCACCATATCCAGTAGTTTCATTCCATATAATAATTAATCCGGCACCGATTGTTGTCAATGCCGAAGCAATTAAAGTCACTAATCGAAACTGTATTTTGTCTGTTCGAGAGAATAGTTGACCGGTTAGGATTAGGAAAACAACCACACCAAGAATGTAAGGCATGAACTCTAATCCGGATTGTGTAGCTGTTTAAAAGAAACGTAAAAGTTGTTAAATTTATTTGATATTTACCGAGGAATATGAGATTTAGTTGATAGATATACTTGCCTGAATCACCTTTTACAACTTGGAAGTAAAGTGGTACATAAAAAATATAACTAAAAAATACCATTCCTTGGAAAAAGCTTGTGAGGAAGCATGATACTACATTAAGATTTGTAAATAAATGTGCTATTAAAAAGAAAAAAAAATTTTATTATATAATAGATTAATTAATATAATTCTTGCAAATAAATCAAACCATGAATACTTACGTGGAGCAACGGGTTCAGTAACGATATAATTTTCAACAAGACCGAATATTATGTAACCGAGTGCGCCGACACATAAAAGTATTATAATTACGGGGCTATTCCAAGGATAAGTACTACCACCCCAATTAAGAGGTAATAAGATACAAACAGTTGACGAGATCATTACAATGGTGCCGATAATATCAACTCTTTTAATTTTATTAAGTAATGAACCAGGTGGTTTTGGTAAATGAAGAAAACTAACTACAACGATTATTGTTATTGCACCTAAAGGAAGATTAATGAAAAAACACCATCTATTTTTTATGGGAAAATAAATTTGGTGGTGAGTTTTACGATTGACATATTTAAACCGATAATAATATTATTAACGTTTTTGCACCAAATATGGTAATCACTCTTGGTATGCGTACGCACCTCCAACTGACATGATCAGTAAAAGCACCACCCAAGAGAGGGCCTGCTACGGAAGCAACACCAAAGCATGCGCTAACAATACCCTGGTATTTTCCCTGATCTTTAGAGCTAACAATATCTGTAATTATAATTAAGACGAGACTAAAAAAAAGAAAAATAAACAATAAAAAATTTAGCATGTATAAAAATTTGATATAAATCGATACAGCAATTAAGTACGTACCCAATGATACCACCACCTCCAATACCAGCGATTGCACGGAATATTATCATTGAAACCTTCAAAAAAAATAAAAAAGTGATGAATATTCAAATTAAGAATTGGAAATTGAAAAATAAAAATATATTGTATATTACCATATTAGTGGCAACACCACATAACAAACTGCCTAATTCAAAGACGGTAATTGCGCCTAAGAATGTTGCTTTACGACCAAAAATATCAGATAATTTTCCATAGATTGGTTGAAAGGAAGTCTGTGTCAATAACATGATTCACGTGAGCGTCACATGAGATATATGGAATTCGAACGAAGAGGAATCAATGTATAATATTATTACCGTTGTGAGTAGATAAGAAGTTGCAACCCACGCGATTTGATCCAATCCATTAAAATCTGAAACTATTTTAGGTAAAGCGGTGGAAACAATTGTTTGATCTAAGGCGGCTAAAAATACAGCACATCCTAGACTATATGATTAGTAAAACTAAATTAATAATTTGATCATATAATGAGAACAACTGGAAATTAATCTCTACGAACCCAAGAACCACTAAAAATAATTCAACTCCATGTAATAAAGCACCATTAGACGATGGCGAGCTATTGTCATTAATAATCTGATTATCGACATTTTTTATAGTTTTTATGGTTACAGTCGCATCTGATACTAACGTTGCTTGATGTTCAAGATCTATTTCACCATTTGATGAGGATTGATTTTGTGTCATTTTTTTCGTAACTACTAATTATTATGTATATATGCTATGTGTGCTTTGTATGCTTTGTATAGTTGTATGCTATGTTATATTATTAAATTATTTTAAATAGTAATTTTTTTTTGTAGAAAATAAACTGGTAAACTTAATTGACGAAAATTTACAAGGATTAAGTGGGAAAAAGAATCTATAGGACAATTTACAAGTCGGAAATTCTCTAAGGTCTACATCGTTTGAAATCTCGGTCTTTTATAATTTTTCTTTTGGATAAAAAGTTTATAGAATGATGCAATGATATAATGCATGGTCAAACCCCATTTATGAATGACGTTATATAGATAATCTAGGGATTTTGTTTTTTTTTACACAAAACGCAGTTGGTTCGTGTTAAATGTTTTTCCATAGGATTAAAGTTTAATTTTATCGATAATTGGTTGTACCAATATTGTTCTGTAATATGAATGTATTACCATGACTAAAAAAAGTTGATTAAATACTTTTGGAATGAATGTCATCTGCAATTTATTAGTATGAGCATTTATAAGGTAGCAGTTATTTGAACCGGGTTATTCTGTGCTCCTTGACTGGAAAAGAGAATTTTATACAATCTATTATTGTTATTCGACAATAACGAGATTCAGCTAGGTATGGGTAGATCGGAATCCACTGCGCAGGCTGCGCAGCATGCGAGCCTGCAGCTTATGTAAGCAGATAGATTATGTAATGTCACAAAAAATGGCAGTGACGTGATCCAAATACCACTCAAACTATATTTCTGTATTCGGCTATTAGTTTTATACTTATAATTCGGAATCCAAAAAAGTTTTTGCAAAACATTCGTAAGAACTTTTTTGGATCCCGAATAATAAGTATAAAATCAATAGCCTGAATATAGGAATATAGTCTGAATGGCTTAGATAATGTCACTTCCATTTTTTTGTGACATGACTAGGGCAGTCAGTGGTAAACTTACTATGGTATTACTGGTAAGCTACCATAAATTTTTGATGGTAGGTTAACAATTCTGCGCAGCCGGCTAGTGATGTGCCGCGTACAGTACTATACGTGATCCTTTCTACCAGCCGATTAAATCGCTAGATACGCACTATACGCACTATACATACTGTACGTACTGTACGTACTGTATGCGAAAAAAATTCGGGTATCATATAAACGGCACATCACTACAGCCGACGCAGTAAAATAATTCCGGATCTTCCCGAAGTTAACATATGCGAATATTCGTTATACCGATTACCCGGATTATCATTTTACAATTACTAATCATTGCTAGCCAAAGCCATTATTATTATTTGAATACATTACCTTTACCGTACGGCACTGACTATAGTACCCAGTCTGACACGATTTTTTTCATAGTGAAAAATTAACAATCACTTTTATTAACAATTGTTTACATCACATGTCACATATAAATAATATTTTAATAAATTGATCTATGTTATTTGTCACGCCGGGTACTATAGTCAGTGCCGTACGGTACTGCGCATTTTAGCAGTACATGTAATCAAGAGTCGTCATCCTTATTGCCCATTACAACTATATTTCACTATTCATAAATGTAGTAATGTGAACTATAATTTACAATTATTTTAAGTAAAATATTGTTTATTCTAAAACTGTAGTTAACCGTGAGTTTTAAGGTTTATTTATTTCGCTGAACATCACGTGATCACATGATGGGTTCTATATGCACTTTAGGTTTGTTTATGCGAATAGTGATGTGCCGTTAATATGATACCCGTATTTTTTTCGCATACAGTACGTACAGTACGTACAGTATGTATAGTGCATATAGTGCTTATCTAGCGATTTAATTGGCTGGTAGAAAGGATCGGCAAAAATTTTCGCGTACAGTACGTACGTACAGTACGTCCGTATAGTACGTATAGTACTGTACGCGGCACATCACTAATGCGGAAGCAGGGACGACGATTTTCTGCATTTCACGGAATGCTGCAGAAATCACGGAATTGGGTTGTGAACACAGTAAGTGCTTCAGATACCACAGAATCCTCACGGAATGCGAATTTTTCTTAATCTCGTGACCTTTGACCAATCAAAACGCATGAATGAATAACGTGAGAGCAAAAAATTTACGACCCAATTTATACAAGGAACATAGTGGAACGAAGTGGATGGTTCAATTCGAGTTTTGCGTTCGTACACAAAATCTTGATTCTGATTGGATGTAGTGATCATATGATAAAATTTAATGTCTGATCTTTGCTTTTTTTTGGGGGTCGTCTAAAGCGGAGGCACATCAAGTGATCAACAGCCAATCAAATAATAAATTTTGATGATCGCCAGCGAAGCAAAAAAATAAAAAACCCGAAAAATACAAAAAACGGCAGTCTAAACCTAACTCGGGTAGGTTAATCAAAAATGTCGGGAAGGCAATTTTGCTTATAAAAAACCTAACCTAACCCCAATATAGAAGACCCTAACCTAAAGTTAATCGAAAAAATTATTAAATATGAGTTGCCTCCGCTTTAGACGTCCCCTTTTTTTGGAAGTTCGGTTAACTTGCATATCTCATAAATTGTATTCTTGATATTTATATATAAATCTTCATACTAACTAATCAAAAAAGCAACCCTATCGGTTCTACCACAAAATCTCGACATCTGAATTTCGAAAATCAAATTATTGGTAAATTACAACGTAATAATATTATCTATATATTCAATTTTGAGTGTGTACGCTTTAATGCTTTTGATTGGTTGTTAAAATCTAAATCCATCCCAAAAATGTTATATTGGGTTGTATATTTGTCGTAATTATTCGTCATGGCACTTGCTAATTGAGTAAACAATGTACATAAACAAAGTTGTTTGAAAAAAAAATTTACGTATTGGTTATGTAGGCTAATGATGCCTGACGAAACTATTTTTGCGATGACGAAATGGTTTCGTCAAATCGCTCGTCAGACAAACCTTGGCGAGTGACGAAACTATTGACGTTTGACGAAACTACTGACGATTGACGAAACTCTTGACGAAATTAATTTGACCAATAAAATATAAAAATGCAGTTAACCATCTTTCAACAAGCTCCTTTATTACGTCCTCTGGATATTCTGAATCTTAAAATTTTAAAATTACTGTTCTTTCATCAAAAGTTTCGTCGGTTTTTTCTTCGTCAGACCCATCGGATACATCCGGGTGAGTAATGCAAATCATGGGTAATGTCGATAAATATGACAAAAAACATAACAAACCGGGTAGATATATTAATGAAAAAAATCAAATTTACATGGACTAATTTATTAGTTTTTAATGACTCCTAAAGAATAAATCCTATTTTAAATTTTTCTTATACTTTTCATATAAAATTCATGATTTTCGTATATTATACAACGGTATAATAACCATGGTATAATAATCCCATCCCTAATAATCATAAGGTTAATGGCATAAAAGTTGTTGCGTAGGCAAAAAATAAAAAAAGAAAAGCATAGTCTACATATATGCATATTAGTTATTTATTTTTAAGAAAAGCGTATAATATATATAAATGTATTAACCAATTTTGAGTTGATTATACTAGTTTGTATATAGATATATGGTACTTTAAAAATTTTGGCTTACTTTATCGGTCATAAGGATAACAACCCTAGCGTCGCCTAGAAAAAATGGTAGCCGAATTATTTTTCTGGCTTACATGTGATTTCAGTTACTGATTGCCAGATAAATTATAATTTTTTTTATTCAATGAAATAACTTGCATTTTTTTAATGGGAAATTATAGGCATCTCCCGCGAGAGATATATCTCCCGCGGGAGAAACATCTCCCACCGGAGATGACGATCACCAGTACGGTGCCGGATTAGGGATCAGTTCGATTCCCTTATTCGATCATGATCAAGATGATCAGATAAGCGCTTTTTTTTTTTGTTTGTTTTATTTTACACACTCGTGAATTTTTTTTTTTTTATTTTGAGCCTTCGCTGGAGCTGTTGCTGGAGCCGTCTTTGGAGCCTTGAAGTTGTCGTGCGTTCGTGTTTTCCGGTATAAAGGTATTGGCCGTTCTTGGGTGATTCAGTAAGTTCTTCGTTTTTCCGTGGATTTTCCAGTACGTTTTCGTCATTTTTGGCGGTTCTTTCAATAAGTTGTTTGCCGTTTCAGTAAGTTCTTTGGTAAGTAGGTTTTATTTTATTTTATTTTTTAGAACGAACGCAGTATGGTAGTTAGATTGGAACGTAGCATGATAGTTAGTATGGGATACAGCACGATAGTAATATAGGACGTAGCATGGTAGTTGTTTTTTTTTTTTTTTTTTACAGTACTAACGTTTCTTATTTTCTTTTTTAGGGACAAACATAGCGCGTTAGTTAGAATGAACGTAGTATGATTGTTAGAACGGAACGTAGCACGATAGCTAGGACGGACGTAGCATGATAGTATTTTTTTTTTTTTTTTTTTTATATATACAGTACTAACGTTTCTTCTTTTCTTTAGAACGTAGTACGATTGTTAGTACGGAACGTAGCGCGATAGTTAGAATGGACGGAGCACGATAGTTAGTATGTGATGCAACTCGATAGTATTTTTTTTCTTTTTCTTTATTTTACAATACTGACGTTTCTTCTTTTTTGAACGTAGTACGATAGTTAGTACAGAACATTGCACGATAGTAGAACGAACGTAGCTCGATAGTAGAACGAACGTAGCTAATGATGCCTGACGAATGACGAAACTTTCGTCATTGACGAATGACGAAACCTTTCGTCAAGCAGATTTTAAATGAC